CTCAAAAAAAAATAAGACCCGGCCTTATTATATGAGAAACACGGTAGGTGCGTTTAAAAGGTGCTTTGCATTCACATTTTTACATTCCTGCCGAGCGATGCTAAGGAGCAGGACTAGCCGGCATGGCTGCTGCATCAGAAGAACAGAATCAAAGAGTTGGAAAGGACTTTGGAGGTCTTCTAGTCCACCCCCCCACCCTCGCTCAAGCAGATGCTATACCATTCCAGACAAGCGGCTGTCCAGTCTCTTCTGAAAAACCTCCAGTGATGGAGGCCCCCCCCCCAACTTCTGACAGCAAGCTGCTCCACTGATTAATTGTTCTAATTGTGAGGAAGTTTCTCTTTTTAGTTCTAGGTTGCTTCTGCCCTTGATTAGTGTCCATCCATTGTCTCTTATCCTGCCTTCTAGTGGTTTGTAAAAACAAGTTTATTCTCTTGTTTATGGCAAACCCTCAACTATTGGAACACTCCTATCATGTCACCCTCAGTATCTGAGTTTTGGACACAGGGTTTCTCCATCTTGGCCACTTGGCAAAATGGGTGGATTTCAACTCCCAGAATTCCTCAGCCTGCCAAGCTGGGGAATTCTGGGAGCGGACGCCCACAAGTCTTACCTCTGGCAAGGTGGGACAACCCTGGACAAGAATTCAAAAACTGTAGTTTTAGGAGACAGGGATGGGGATGGGAGAAGAGGGGTGGTGGTGGTGCGATAAGCAGCAGTTAAGGATCCCCGTCCCAAAGACACCGCCTCTTTGCCGCCCCGCCGTGGAGCATCGGAGTTTTGCAACCCGACCTGCCCTGGCTGGAAACCCAAGCGCAAGGCAAAGCGCGCGGAAGATGCAACCGGCTTGCTTGGAGTTGCAAACCTGCGCCGCTCGACCTCCTCGCCGCCCTTACCTTCCCCTCCAACTGCACTGATCTTCTGAGTAACTGCAGAAAGCCGGGTCCAAGAGAAGGAGAAGGGCAAGCAAGCGCGGGGTCCAAGGCATGCTTCCACGGACTTCCCTGGCGAGGAAGGAAAAAAAAAAAAGGAAAGGAAAGAAAGAAAAAAAAAACCCCACGGACGATGCAAGCGCGGAGTTCAAATGCAAAGCAGGGGAAGGCGCTCTCTCTCCAGCCGCCTCTCCAAACGCGTGGGAAGCCTCAGCAGCCGCCCCGCCGCCGGCTCGCCATCCCCCATCGCCGCCGCCGCCGCCGCTGCTTCCCAGCCTTCTCCGAGAGGCTCTCGCTTCCGCTCCCCCCTTTTCTTCTCGGACGGGGGTGGGTGGGCGCAAAGCCTCGCGGTCTCGCCCCCGCCGAGCTCCCGATGGAAACGGCGCTTGGGAGACGGAGATGCGCCCCGAAGGAGCGCTGGTCACTTTCCAGCCAAGCTCAGCCGGGAGCAGCCGGGGTGGGGCCGGAGGAGGGGGAGGAGGGGGGAGATCGCCCAATCAGAGCCCGGCTGGGGGAACTTGGAGCCAACCCTGGGGGAGGTGTGGGGGGGGCCGAAGGAGGGGGGGGGGGTAGGATGTGTTTCAGCCGTTCGGGAGAACAATGCGAGTCAGGCACCCGGAGTGGAAAACGGGGTCCCTGGTGCTCTTTTGTTTTTTGTTTTGCAGACATTTCATTCCCTTAACTGGGGGACACCATCAGTGTTAGGAGGGAGTGGGATTTGTGGAGGAGGAGGAGGAGGACTATGGGGTCCCTGGTGCTCTCTGAGTTTGGTGGTTTTCTTGCAGACATTTCATGACCCAACTAGGTAACATCATCAGTGTTCGAAGGGAGTAGGGTTTGCAAAGAGGAGGAAGAGGAGGAGGAAGAAGAAGAGGAGAACAGTGGAGTCCTTGGTGCTCTTGAGCTTGGTAGATCTCTTGCAGACATTTCATGACCCAACTAGATAACATCATCATTGTTAGGAGGGAGTGGGGTTTGTGGTGGTGGAGGAGGAGGAGGAGGAGGACAACAATGAGTGACAATGACAATGAGGACAACAATGACTATGGACTCCCTGGTGCCCCCTGAGCTTGGTTGTTTTCTTGCAGATTTTTTAATACCTAACTGGGGGACATCATCAGTATTAGGAGAGAGTGGGATTTGTGGAGGAGGAGGAGGAGGAGGAGGAGGAGGAGGAGGAGGAGGAGGAGGACTATGGGATCCCTGGTGCTCTCTGAGCTTGGTGGTTTTCTTGCAGACATTTCATTCCCCAGCTAGATAACATCATCAGTGTTAGGAGGGAGTGGAGTTTGTAGTGGTGGTGGAGGAGGAAGAGGAGGATGACAATGAGGACGCCGATGACAACGACTATGGGGTCCATGTTGCCCCCATGAGCTTGGTTGTTTTCTGGCAGATTTTTCATTACCCAAACCCCATTACCCACTAACATTGACAGAGCAAGCCACTAGAATATAACCTGAGAGCAAAGCCCACTCCATACTGATGATGTTACCAAGTTGGGTAATGAAATGTTTGCAAGAAAACAACCAAGCTCAGAGAGCAAGAAGGACCCCACAGTCCTCCTCCTATGCCATCACCACTCTGCAACACACACACACACACACACCACACCACACTGATGGCATACCCTAGTCAAGCAACGAAATGTCTGCAAGAAAACCATCAAGCTCAGAGAGCATTAAGGACCCCATCATAAATATATGCCAGTTGGCAAGTGCCCACATATTGGTCACTTAGCCATGAGGATGCTGCAACCGTTGTAAATGCAAGGATTGGTCATAAATCATTTTTGTCAACGTGTTTGTATCTTCAGTTACTCAACAAATGGTTGTAAGTCAAGGACTACCTGTATTTAGCTATTGTGGCAATTCTTCCTTTCTACTAGATATCTCCTAACAGTTTGGTAAACAACTGTGATACTTTCGAGTATTTCTAAATCTTGAATTTCCTTTTTGAGTGGGAATAACACCGCCCTCATCAGCCAAAAAATCTGAATTCCCCAAATGAGTGTGTAGGGGAAATACAAAACTTTTTTTTGAAATTGTTTTAGCTTCTTGAAAGACGCCTGTATTTCTCCTCGGGACAAGGGCTCAACCTGAAGGAATTGAAGCAAACAATCTGGCTTAATCACAATTAAAACAAAAAAACTGGGAGAAAGAACCTGGAGGCAATTAAGCCAGGCCAACGAAAGGTTAGTTGTCCACAAACCCAACGGTGGTTAACTTTTAGTTGTTGTTTTATTTTTAAAGAGAATTTTTTCCCATTGCTCACTTTAGATTTGCAGAGAGCCAGCGAGGATTTATGTGAACGGATCGGCTGCCAGCCTCTTCTGGTTTCCTGTACTTCCAATTTTTATATAAATGAGATCTTAGCTGCTTGCACTAAGCAATCCATTAAAGTCAGCATCTATTTGTTTAAAGGCTGGTGTTTTTCCCCGAAGAAGGCTGGGTCAGGGGGAAAGGGGAGTAATCCAGCAACCTCAATTAAAAACCACCATGATGTGATTCACATTTTTGGTCACTAGAGATCGGACTGGATTAAACCCAAAGGAATTTTTTTTTATCCAAGCGAGTTCTAAAGGATTGAAGTGAGGCAGTTTAATCCTGGTGTGATTGACTAATAATGTGAATTTTAAAAACTCAGCAAATTGCCCTTAGCCTTCTGATGCTTGTTCTGGTGATTAACCATCTGAATACCAAAGAAAAGGATTTTCTGAGTTATTTGAAAAACAACACACACACACACACACACACCGCTTTCCTCAGACAGCCTTGTCCCAGATTTTTTTAAAACAAATCCTGCCATTCGTTATTTTTCCATCGGAATGGCTGCCCACCAAAATATTTGAAGTAAAACACAGAACAATTGCAGGGCAATGACCTGGGCTGAGAACAGAGTCCACGGGGAAGGCAAAATGGAATGAAAAATGGACATTTGCTACATTTGAAGGGAGCAAAGGGGAGGAGGGGAGGAGTGCCGGGTCTGGGAGAAGTGAGAGAGAGTATTCTGAAGGGAGCCTGACCTTGGAATTAATCAATAGGTCAGAATCCATAAAAAATGGGTGAGAAAAGAAAGAAAGGAAGGAAGGAAGGAAGGAAGGAAGGAAGGAAGGAAGGAAGAAAGAAAGAAAGAAAGAAAGAAAGAAAGAAAGAAAGAAAGAAAGAAAGAAAGAAAGAAAGAAAGAAAGAAAGTGAAAGACAGTGAAAAGAAAGAAAAGAGAAAGAGAAAAATGAATGAGAAAGAAAGGAAGAAGAGAACAAAAAAGAAAGTGAAAGACAGTGAGAAAGGAAAGAAAGAAAAGAGGAAGAAAGGGAAAGAGAATGAATAAAAAGAGAGAAGAAAGAAAGGAAAAGAAAAAGAAAACAAAAAGAAAGAGAAAGAAAAATGTGAAAGACAATGAGAGAAAGGAAAGAAAAAAGAAAAAGTGAAAGAAAGAATGAATGAAAAAGAGACAGACATACAGATACATAGATAGAGGAAGGAAGGAAGGAAAGAGAGAGAGAGAAAGAAAAAGGAAGGAAGGAAGGAAGGAAGCGGGGAAAAAAAGAACAAGCAGGTTTACAAAGCTTTTAAATCAATTAAAATAAAAAGGCCACAGAGGGAAATTAGTGGATATGGCCAGGACTGCTTCTTGGTAAGTTTTTACTTTCTGGTCCTTTCATTATTCTTAGCTGAAAATTGGTTGTTACTGAGGAAGAGGCTTGCGATCTTCGATCAATATTAATTTATAATGAGTTGTGTTCCTTAGCGGTCCATATTCAAGCCAGAAACCAAAATCAAATCAAAACCTTCAAATGCTTTTGTTTGTTTGTTTCTTTTTATTTCCATGGCTGCCCAACTCAACCAAGTGACACCGGGTGGCTGACAATTCTAAAATTATAAAACAATCAAAATCATCCAAACAATTTTAAAAAAAAAACCACCCACAAAATAAATACAACGCAAAGAGCAGCCATGAGGATCAGGGGTGGGATTCTACCAGTTCGCACCTATTTGGTAGAACCGGTTGTTAGAAGAAATTACAGGGCTAATCCTGTAAGGAAGGCAGGAAGGAAACATTCTGGTGTTGCTTACAGAAACTGCCTCTCCGTTAACCCTTATTACATTCTTGGCAGGACTAGACTTCCTGTCTCAGGAACTTCTCTGGAGTTTTTTCCCCTCCTTTGCTGGTACTTTGCTTGTGTGGAGTGACCATTCAAAGTTACAATGGCACTGAAAAAGTGACTTATGACCATTTTTCACACTTACGACTGTTGCAGCATGCCCACAGTTATGAGAGGCCAGGTGAGAAGATGCTTCCCTCGATTTGAGTGATATTGAGTTGGCCACACCTAGCCAATAACATGACCACCAAGCCATGCCCACCCGGTCACATGACCACCAAGCCACGCCCACCACCTAAGCCACGCCCACAGAACCGGTTGTTAAAAATTTGAATCCCACCCCTGGTGAGGATTAACCTTTGCTGGTCCCCTGAGTGGAAATGTCTAAAAGAAGAACAAGATTTTCAGCAAGAAAGTGGTGCGGAAAAGGAATAGGTACGTGGTTCTCCATCCACCGTCCACCCCATGGACACGTGCTGTGGGGTTTATTTGAGTTCTGCTGCTTTTGGAGGACGAGGGTCCAGCGTGGCTTGTGAGCGGGAACACAGACCACAGAAAACTGAGAAGAAAGAGAAGGAGGAGGAGGAGAGGGAAAGGGGGGGGAAAAGGCAGAATGGAGAAATTTGGAGGGCTGACGGTGCTTCCTCCATCAGTCAGGGCTCCAGAATTAGGAGAAAGAAACGGGGTTTCTGTGGGACGCTCAGAGGGTTGAGACAGGATGCTGGAAATGAAAGGCCACCCGGAATCCAGTCCTTCATTGTTGCTCCTTCCACGCTCATAAATCTGGTGGGTCACAATGAGGTGGGGGCTGCTTGGCTGGGCCTGCCTTTCTCGCCGACATTGCAAATCTTCACGAGGCAGACTTGAGCACATCTGGAACTGCTGGAGATGAAGATCAGCTATGCCTTGAGCCAAGGTAAACAGTCTCCTTTGTGGAACATCTAAGGCATTACAGAGCCAATGAAGAAT